CCAAAGATTAATAAATTAACCCTCAGTAATGACGTTCTTTTGGATCTTGGTTGTTATGAATTACCTAAGACTGAGTATGTTTTCTTAAACAGCCACTGCTCAATAGGTGATGGTGATTTCTTTAGAGTTAATTGTTTCACCTTCACAGAGGTCTGAAAATCAGGCAAGATAATGCGTGACAGGTCATATCTAGGTCGTTCTTCTCACGACTTGCTTCCATCTACAAATTTATGCGCCCTTTCATGTAAATACATTGCTTACTACATACTTTAGCTAGTGGTCTCAACAGCATAGAAGTGTAATACGGTAGTGGTTTATCCCTTTGGCATTGGCGAGGCCCCACTTTTGTACTTTGAATTAGCCCCTTTGTACCTCGCTAGGTGGGCTGGCCTTTTGAGCCATGCCAATAGCCCAGATACCTTCTCTGCGCTAAATGTATATTCTGCACGAGTATTTTGTCTTCATTCGTCCTCAGGGAGTCTCGGGACGCTACAGAATCATCCTATGGGGATATTAAGTGCATATAATGGGAAAAATATTTGTCAAATTTGAAAAAAAAACCAATGCATAATTTGTAGCAACATTTGCTAGAAGAAATATTAAGCTAGGCTCATAAATGCCTTAGCAGCCAACTAAAGGAGGGCTCTAGCTAAAAGGATTGCCATTTAGTGGTTTTAGTCTTCTAAAGCAACAGGAATGGCCGACCGTTTTTACTTTCCTAGATTTAGCTAGTTGTCAAATAAATCATTCATCATCAATTTATCATCTTCTACTGCTTGGAGGGGACTGAAAAAAGAAACAAACCAAATAGTTGGATGAATTCACATTTGAATCGTGACTTACCTTAAACCAGTACGACACAATCATTGTTTTTGCTAGATCACCTGGGTGGATGGAATCGAAAGGTAAAAGCCATTGGCTCCTTTTGATATTTTTTTCTTTCTACATTTGTTCACAAAACTCTAAAACAACTTATTACGATGGCAGTGAAGTCAGGAGCATTCACTGGCTGTGGTTGAGTGGGTAAGGCACTTAGAAGTTAACGGCGCTTAAGCCAATCGTAAACTTCAAACAAGGATTCGTTCGTTGCTGCCAACACCTTGTCAGTATTCTAATTTTTGAAGCTTAAAGTACTTTAATATTTCATAGATGCTACCTACTGCAACAAAAAGGTTCTTGATTGTGCTGGAAGATTAGCTGTCGAGCTACTGAATACCCCTACTGCGCTCTGAATAGGCTATGCGAAGAAGTGGCAATACAATTAGACTATTGACTCTCTCGCGCAAAGAGTTGTATATTCATAGTCTTTAAAAGGAAATTCTTCACAGTGATTAGGTAATACTGCCTTTAAGGCAAGAGTAGGAATGCATCTGCAGCGGTCACCACAACCAGTGACACCAGCAAGATTTGCAGAAAAATAGTGTTGTTTATATAAAGAGGTGAATTTTGATATTTCTGGCAAACAAAACATTTTGCCCTAATGTCTGCGAAGAGGTGACCGAAGATATAATTCTTCCACCATGCACTATGGTAAGATAGCTCAAATCTTCATCCATTCCGACTGACGTCTCGACAATTCGACCAGTCACAGCTTTCCAGTATCATACCACCCTCAAGAATTGGCTTCGTTCTCCTAACAGTTGAGTGAGCGCCTGCAAAGAACCTTCTAGTCGGTACTATTCCAGGACCCATTTTGTGATTCGAAAATCGTCACGCCGAAATGTCCGAATCACAACTGACACTCCTCTTTCAAGGATCTGTGCTGCAGGGTGCTTATTATCCCAGAAATACTTTTCGTGTCAACTTTGTAGAAGCTGCACTTGATTGGTGATCTCTGAACATTCTTGAGGGTTGTACTTCTGCTCGCCTGCCTGATTGGCTCATATCCAGCAGAGTTGTGCTCATGTATACTGATAACCACTCAGAGGTCAAGGTTAGTCATGCAGACTTATGCTTATGTGGTCCTTGTGCTACTTACTGTGCCTTCTATGCGAGTCCTTTACGTCGGCTGGTAAAGCCTTCCCCCCAGAGGTCATTATCACCTATCCCTCTTCGGGTCGGTGACCTTGATAGGATCCAGGTGACACGTGCACACAAGACGGTAGTGATAAT